TACGCTATTTTGAGTCATCTATATTGAATTAAGTTACGTATGTCCTTGAGCTTGTTCTGGAAAGAATTTTATTTTCAAAGAGTTTGATAATATGAGCATCGAGATTCTTTCATGTGACTCGCTCTTAAGTATGTTCCTAATCAGATGTGATAATAATCGGGGGCAATATTATTGCAAGATCAGCATTACTATGTGTCGACATTGATTAGCATGAGATGTTAATGGTTGGGTGATGACACGTATATCACGAGGGCACGAGTAATGAGGTGATTTATTAGAGAATGAAGCATCGAACGTGACTGTTGGATGATTGATCACATGGGTATAATATCTTAAGTCAATGATCATCATTTTGTGCATTAGTGTCACTTTATCCCTAGACATGAGATGCGACCATGTCTTGTGCATGGGAGCTCGTGGTTCTTTAAAACATTATCACTAGATTGTTTATATCTAATGTGTAGTGCTTCTTGGTCATACGGAGTCATATGTGTATTCAATAAGGAATCTGATAGCTCAGATATTATGAGCTTGAGTGTTCCAATGGATCAATGAATATGGAGGAAGTCTTTGGCCAAAACATTTGTGTTTTATGAATAGTTTCATAAAAACACAATTCCACATTTTAAGATGATCCGAATTATGTGATCAAGTTAGGGATTTGACTATTGTAATGACTGCTTTATACTAGGATACTTATGAAAATATATCAAGTAGAATATATGTATAGTAGCAAAAGTAAATGGGCCCAAAATTTTCTTTTATTACATATATACATTATTTATACAAAACAAAGTATCATTTATGAAATGGTATTAAAATAGTGGACAGTGTAGCTATTGCTCTTCGCTTGCCGACACCCATCCAACCGCGTTCTCACCTAGATCCTGCAACCACAAAGAAAAACAACGGGGTGAGCACGGAATAATGCTCAGTAAGTAAATCCTCTAGTCGACTGTCCTCGTAACTCTCTCTAATTCTTTCCTTACAATTCTCATCTTTCACACAGCTCTCTTTACTTAACTGCTGCTATATGTCACGGTCTCATCTTACCGGAGGCACGGCTGGGTGGAGTTCACACAGCACCATCCCACTCTTCGTGACTTTTGGGTGGAGATCACAAAGCACCAACCCATTTGAGTAACTACCGGGTGGAGATCACAAAGCACCAACCCGCTTTTAGTGCTCTTCTCATTCTCTCTACTCTTAGAATAGTTCATTCACACAGTTCCCTACTCTTTCTCAAACTAGTATTCATAGTGTAGCTTAATGCTTAGAGTAGGTTAGTCACAAAGTTCTATACTCTTTCTCAAACTACTTCTCAAATGCACAATTAATGCATATGGATGGTTCATAGTCATTAATGCACTTAAGAAATGCCAATATGCAATGGTGCAAAAATTAAGGTTCACAACTCATGCTCATACTTCTCTTAGGCATTTCATCAAACAACTAGTGTGCATACCTACACTCCACTTTATTTATAAGTCTATCCTTCTTTTGAACCATCCAAAATGGGAGAAAACTCCCTCACCAAGCTATAATTCCTGCCATAACTTAACACTTCCAAAGAGATTTCTCAATCTCCTCCAATTTCATCACAAACTACATTTTCATCACATATCACACTTCTCAATTGAAGTATATTTAACAACCACAAAATAACTACTCATCTCAACACAAGTTCTCAATAACATAACATATATCATGCACAAATAAATCTCTAAGCAAAGGATTTCTCAAATATCAACTTGGATTGGGATTTACTTACTTTGTGATGGTGTGATTCCACTAACACTTCTCTTTTCCATAGTAACTTGTCCCTTCTCTACAACTTTAACCAATAAAACCATAAGACTTCAATGTATAAATATATACAAAACTTCACATCTAAAGCAAGAATCCTTACCTTAGGATGCCTTAGATTAATTCTCTATCAAGATCCAACTAAAACCCCTCAAAAATCCTTGAAAGATTGAAGGAAGAATTGAGAGGAAATGGAGAATGGAAGAGGCGGTGGAAGAAGAGTGAATGAAGGGTTTACTAAACTTAACCCCTTTTTAGCTCAACTTATCTTCATTCATTCCCATTTTACCCTTGCTCGTCCTTGGGAATTCCATCCTTGTCCTTTAAATCATTACAATCACACCCCCACTCTAGCATATTCTTCATAAAATTCTCTTACATTTTACTCCCCACTTTTCCTGCTAATTAAGGGTAGAATGGTCATTGTGCCCCAAAGGAAGAATTCTCTAGAAACTTAATAAACATTTTTGTCAGGCCCTTTGCCGCGGCGAAGAATCTTTCTTCGCCCCAGCGAAAACTTACAAAACCTACACCGTAGGTTGCAGGACTTCCTTGTCGCGGCAATGCTTTTTCTTCGCCCCGGCGAAGTTTGTAACACAAAAATTCGCCAAGTCTTTTACAAATTTCAAGACAACCACTCAACCAACTCACAATATCCATTCAACCAAGGACCAACCAAACAATATTAACAATATAACAACTAAATTAAGAGCAAAACAATAAAGATTCAAGCAATACAACGTAAATTAGCTACATACCTCAAGTGGGGCGTTACAACTATACCATGGTCTGCACTTGATTGGAACATGACGTTGGAGGGAATGAGGTGACATGATGTTGGAGGGAATGAGGTGACATAACTGAAACGCTCAATTTTACAGGTTCATATGACCCCACTTAATTCATTGATGCTAGGTGTCACTTATGGTCTGTAAGGAAGATGGATATCAATGTTGATATTTACCTTACTGCCAATCGATAAATGAGCCTAGAAAGGTCACACACATTATGGATTTCTAAGCTTGATGGGAGTTAGAGATTTTCTTATTAAAGAGTTAATGAGGATATTAAAGTTTCTAGAAGTCCTAATTGACTAATTAGTAGAATTAGTTAAAAGGGTATTTTTGTAATTGGATAAGTTAATTAAATTAATTAATTGTTGATTAATTAGTTAAATTAATTCATTAAAAATTAAGTCCAAATAAGGAGGCTTTATAAATGGGTTTAATAATTAAACTTATATACCTAAATTGGGCTAGCACTCAAATAGGCCTAGTTTTAGTTATTAGTTAATCCATCAGAGAATAAATTAAATTGGAATAAGATAATCCAGGGATTGCCTACTAATCCAATATTTGGTGGCTATTTAAAGGAGGCTTAGGGTTCATTATTTCAGAAGAGAAAAATTATAAGAAAACCCTAGCCACCGATATTCTCTGCCATCCCAAGGAAGAAGTTGTTATTGATTCTAGTGTAGTGGGTTAATTCCCATCGGTGAGGGATCCTGTGTGTATCGATCTAGAGGTACCACACTTGGGGTACCTAGCGAGGATTCAATAAGGAGAAAGAAAATAGCAAAGGAGTCGGTAACCTTTTCTTACTCTTGTTTTGTATTTCATGTTTTCAATAAATATATACATGCATGTGTTATTTGCATTAAATCATTATTACCTAGATTATAATGACACAATTGGGGAGGAAGTTTAATATTTGGGCAACCAAGTGCTTTCGCTAAACGTTCCTAACCCCAACACAGGCCAGCCACCACCTCTGGTCGTCGGCCACCACTGTCGCCAACCGTTAGCTGGTGATGGAATGACGCACGACAGGTCGAATCTAGTCGGTCGTGCTCCGATGAAGCCATTTTCAGCCATATATTTGTGATCCATGGCTATTTCATGGCCAAATCTGGTTGTGAAAATGCCAGATCTTTGCTTGTGAAATGGCCATTCACCGCTATATTTTGTCAGAAATGACTTCATCGGTGCATGATCGGCTAGATCCGGCCAATCGTGCACCATTCCGACGACTGTCAGCGGCTGCTAGTAGTGGTGGCTTGCTGTTGGCAGTGGCTTGGGGTGGGTAGGAGTGATTTTGTTATAAATTAAAGTTTTATATGGTTGGGGTGTTTTAACAAAATTTCAAATGTAGGGGGTTAAAAGTGATTAAAAAATAAAATAAAATAAATGTTATATTAATATTTAAAAAGAAGGGTAATTTAGTAATCTATATAATATACCCACTAATTTATCCTCGTAGTCAAACATATCAATATAATATACTCACCAATTTATTCTAAACTAACCAAACATATTTCTCTAAACATTCACAGTAATCTTCAAGTTAATTTATCTTTTTATTAATATAATATTCCTAGTGATACAACATTCCCTAAACCAAATGCACTCTTGTGGTTGAAGTGTAAGAAGACAAAATTAGAAAACAATAAAAAGTCAAATGAATTTTCTTTTTCTTGATAAATTTTAAGTAGTATTTTTTATGTATTCTTTGGTTTCTAAAGAGGGTCACAATTCTATACATTCTTACAATTTTGTACAATTTCTTATATGATCCACTAAAACATTTTTTTTATTATCAATATTACTTTACAAAAACCTAACAATGAAGTGAAAAATTTAAAAATAAGTATAAAATATTGTCAAAAAAGTATAAATCTTAATTGAAAACAAATAATTATAGAAATATTTTGAAAATGTTAACAAAGGATAGTTTGATCAATTCAATGTGGGTTAATTTCATATATTCCTAGAGGTATTAAGTAAAAAATGTCCCATTGATTATTAAAATTATCAAATACTTTTAAGGTGTGTCTGATATATGCAGTTATGCACGAGTTTTTTCTCTATTCTTTTCTTTTTTAATATATAAGGGCTTTTTTTTTTATAAGGTACGATAAATGGTCCAACCGGTCCTCTAATTTGGAAAAATCATCATTTATCTCCCATTAACTTTTAATATTGAAATTAATGGTTAAAATTATGACCAGGAGAGGCAAATGATGATTTCATAAGGGGAGGTAGCTGATGATATCTAATACCTGTGGGTCTTTCAAATATTTTAAATCTCAGGGAGGTATGGAAGCAAAAAACATATTCCTCCTACCATAAGTCCATATAAGATATAAATACATAAAACCCCTCCTAAACCTTTGCTTCTCCTCTTTCTTTTCTACCATGTACGGGAACCACCGCCTTCGATTCTGCCCCGGCGGCAGAGGCGGTTCTCAGCCACCTCCTCAATCTCATCCTCATCCTCATCCTCAACCCCAGCCTCCGCAATTAAATCCCAACTTTGCCCTCCAAAATCCTAATGTTTTTTCCCCCAACTTGCAACTCCTCCAAAACCTCACAAATATTCCTCTCCAAAGCCCTAATTTTCCTTTTCAAAACCCTAATTTTCCCCTTCAAAGCCCGCCTTTTCCTATCCAAAACCTTAATTTGCCTTCCCAGCAACTCCCTTATAATCCAAGTAATCATTCTCTGCAAACTCAGACTCCGATTTCAACTCAGCCGCAAAGGCCCAAAAGAGAGGTTCTGGAAAGAGTTGAAAGTGCAGTAGTTAAAGCTCGAAGTGAGATTATAGCGGCCAGGGAGAGTGTGAGCGCCTGGAAAGTTTGTGAGTCAGTGCTTTTGAAGCTGAAAGTAGATTCTTGGAGCTCTTTGGGGTTTCAAATGCAGGAGGTTCCGTCTCTTAGTAAAATTATGGTGACTGAATCAAAGGTAATTTCAAATAAACAGACATATTTATTTATTTAATGAAAACTTGTAATTGTTTCATACAACATCATAGTTGTAAATGATATAAGTTATATTTAGTCAGAGTTTGATTTACAGTTATTACTAGCATTCACTTTCATTTTAGAAATATGATCACTTTTCAGAAAATCGTTTTCCTGGTCTGCCCTCTATCTACGGCTAAATTATAAAGAGAACTTTTTATGTTTGTGGGAACGTAATGGGACTTGAAATGTTTTTTTTTTTTCAAATTTTTATGGTATAAAAAAAATTGAGGTTAGATAGGACTAGAATTCTGACGAGTGGCTTGAGATTAGAGAAAGCTCATTTTTTTTTTTTTTTTTTTAACATATATTTCTTTTTCTGAGTTCTGTGGTGGTTTTGGAAGATAATAGAACTTGAAAATTTGGGATTCAGAACACTGTAATTAGGAGCTTGTGAAGACTGAAAGTTTCACTGAACTGTAAATTGCAAGTGGCAGAGCCCTGTGCATTGCAAGTTTTGTAAACAGAGGCAACCTGAAGTCTCAATTTCAGTTCTTTTACTTTCCTTATATGTACATTCAGTTTCTCAGAATTTATGTTTTTTTTTTCTCAGAGTAAAGTTTTTGTGGGGTTTTATGTTAATGTTCTCCATGTTTTGTTTTTGTTTTGGTTTTTTTAGATAAATGCGTTTATTCATTGCTTTGTTGGGGTCCGGAAAATTACATCATTGTATGATTTGGAAGTGGCCATATGCAAGAATGAGGGCATCAAGAAGTTTGAAGAGCTGGAATTGGGCCCTTTTTTAAGACACCCGCTGGTCTTGCATTACTTTTCAGTAAATTGTGATGTAACTGAGGTTTTTAAAATAACTACTCATGACATAATCGTTTGCCTTTCTGAGTACATGGACACTCATATAAAGAAAGATATTAATGTTGATGAATTTCTCAATCTCATTGCTAAGAAGCAATCATTGGCGAGCAAAGAAAAGCTTGGTGTGCGTATCCAAAATTTAGGGTATGTAATAATTGTCCCAGTGTTTTTGTTTGATAGAAAACAAGAGGTTGTTCTTTATTATAGTAAGAATGTTTGATGAAGATAATGTTTGACATGTTTTGTTCACAGTATTGTATAGAATGGTTCCATTTTTTTTTATTTTTTGATCTCTTTGTGGATTTCTGGTCCACTGAAGTACTTACCTCAGACTCTTCTTTAATATAGTTTTACAGTTTCTTATATATAAAAAAATATGTTAAGTTAATTGATTCCTTTAATTGATAATATTTAATGCTGTCTAGATAAAGTTTGAATCCATAATGAATAGTAAAGTTAAAATTTTAATGGAATTGGCATTCTTTTGAAGGTGTTAATTTTTTTTTTTCTGTGATCATTTCTTAAAGGTATCATGGTGGCAATTTATGTTGCAAATCAGCTAAGTTTCTCACTTCATGCCTTTGGCTATGCTATGAACATGGTATTGATAATTAAAGTTAGTTAGGTCGATGATGTTTTGTCCACAGTTAGGTCGATGATGTTTTGTAGACTTTCTGACCATTTCTGTTCTACCAGCTTTACATTGGGCATAAAATTATCAACCCTGTTCATCCAATTACTTTCGTATTTTCAATACCGACTTTTAAAAGTTGTTCCTGTGCCAATTAATGTTTGGAAATTACTGAGGCATATCACGTGATGGAATCCGTGGCTGAGTACTGTAGTGATCAGAATATATTTCAAGATATTTTCCCATTTAGCTGTGGTGCATTTTGACACATTTCTTTTTCTCCTGTATGTCTCCTAAATGCCAACTAAAAGCGGATAGGATTTGATTTTTAATCAAAGTTGTTCATTTTTTATGGTTATAGGATGCATATTAATTTTATTCGGGAAGCTAGGAGATCTGAAGATGTCATACTAAAGAAATATTGGGAGGGATCGCAACCTGATCATAAACGTCGGAAGCGTCGTATTTTTTCCTCTCATAGGAAAAAGCAACTGGATGAGCGTTTTTCTGCCATACGTGAACGTGTGAAATCATTTTCTTCTGTACATGAGGATTTTGGCAAGCACATTCGATTTGTATCATCAGGCTCTGAGGATGAGGATAGTGATGATTGTTCAAATGAAGGTAACAATGATGTAGGCTGCCATTTTATGCCATCATCACGAGTCAATAGTTCAGACCAGGTTGGTAGTTGTCCTTACCCATCTGCAACAGAAGAGATCGTACGTCTTGGTTTGAAAGGTGAAATGAATCACCGAATCTTTGCTGTCGGGAGCAGCTCTAGGCAAGATGAGAATATTGGGTTGTTATCAAAGAAAAGAAAATTTGGAAACCAAATTGGTCCCATGTCTGCACCTGCTAAATTGCTAAAAAAGAAAAAGGTGAAACAAGGTGCTCTTCCTGTTGAAAATGACGATGATACCAAAGATGTTAAAGTTGATGAAGCTGAGATTTCACTTTCTGAAGACTGTATGAGGATGTTCATTACAACCTGGAAGGAGGCATGTCGGGACTATTCTGTGACTGAGGTGAGTTTGTCTTGTTATTATAAATTTTCAATGAATATTTGAAAATTCTCTTGCAGGCATCAAATATTTGTCCTTTGCTTCCTGTCTATTCATCAATGTTGAGTTTGCTTGATGGTTTCCTATCCAAAGTTGTTAATGAAGAACTTTTTTTCTTTTTCTTTTTTTGGTGTAAATATGCTTTTAGGACATTGATTGCTTAATATTGTTGAAGTTTAAGATTTCGTAAATCCATTCTTGATTCTGTCAATAATTATACAGAGTTTTCCTCAAGTTCTGCATGCATGGTGAAGAACACGATATAAATTGTTTAAAATCTAAATAATTACGACAATTTGGATTTCTGGGAAGGCTAACATTGTGTTTGGTGTTAAGATGTCTGGGAAGAAGCTTAAAAGTTGATAACATCATCATGTTTCAGGATTATAGGACTCTAAAATTGTTTATAAGTGCTATGCAATACATATGTGTGTGTTCAACTGTATTTCCGTTTTGGAAACTTGCAATTTAACACATGATGTGTATGATTATTCTTACACTGCACTTCTGTTTCATGAAGAGGTTGGTTCTCCGATTGTGGAAGCAAAATTCAGGTCATATATATGATTGTAATGCATGTATGTTAATGAATTTGTTGCGGTTATCTGGTTGTCGGTTGCCTATGCTTTTTATAATAAGTATTTGATTCTTCAGCAATAAATCAGTCATATTTAAAATGCTCATTGTCCTTTTTTTTTTTTTTTTTTTGCCCCAACTTTGGAATATATTTGTTAGATTTGATATGAGATGTAATTCTTAGTGGATTTTGTTCTGTAATTGCAGGTTTTTGAAAGAATGCTTCAGTTCTATAAACCAACAGATCCTAAAAAAGCCGCTCATCATGTAAAGAGATTGAAATTGATGTTCTTATCATACCCATGCATTGGATTACTAAATATTGCTGTAAGTTGGGTATTTAAAATGAAATATCTTTGGGTGTTCTTCTCCTAATTTTTTAAAAATATTTTCTGGTATCTTATATGGAATCATGATCTTTTTATCTTATAGTTATGTAGGACTTCTTCTTTGTGAACTACATTGCTCTACATTTTAATGATTTTCCTTATATTTGTTCTATTCCATTATTTATGATAATTTAGGTTTTAGGGGTTGATAAATTGTATCTCAATCCTTGCTATATTGTGTAACGTTGGGACTCTTATTTAATCTTATGATGAAATCTTGATGATCCTTTTTTCAATATAAGGTGAAACTCTAAATTTAACAGCCTTAAAGCAAATGGGAATCGAATTGTTTTTGATTCTCATGTGTTATACCCATCAACTTGGGTAATAAACATGAGAAGGGAGCTTGTGTTCCAATCCCCCATTCTATCTGTTAAATTCTAAAGTTGTTTTTGTATTTGTTTTTATGTGTATGATTATGGTTGTATGTGCTGTTATAATTTTGTGTTTGATTAATGTTCCTTGGTAGTGAAGGGGGCTTAGAGATTAAAGTACTAGTGATGCACTCTTAGTGGTGTGGAAATTTGTATTACATGATATTACCTTGTTACTTGTGGGCTGAATTAGAAATTAACATCCAATTTGTTGGTTAAAACTTGACTATTCTCTGACATCCTGCCGGGTGCCTAGAATAGGTTATCAAACTCCTGTTTCTTGACAAGAAGCATTTTTAGTTTCCTTGATATATCTTGTTAGGATGATTTCTATGCGAGGAGATGCTTATCTCAAAAGTTGTCTTGGATTGTAAAATAAACATTGTGTAGTATTGTGTTCATATGCTTTCATTTTTTCTATTCATTCTTCATATTCTTTTCCTGACCACCTAGGTATGCCTGAAGTACTGTTATTTGGTAAATGGCTTTTCTCTGCTTCTTTGTAGTGCCATTGGTCCAATAAATTCTGACCGTCTCCCACGTATCCTAGTGGTCCTAACTGTGTCAAAGTTTTGTTACATAAGCCTTTCATGAGGTCAAAGTGCATCCTTTAAGCTGTGTTAATCAACTTGCATATGAAGCACAATGCAGCTGAATTGACTATAGTTTTGGTCTGGCTACCTGAAACCATGTTATCAATTTTTGTCTAAATTGCTATGCCTGCATCTTTTATTTTTGTCCTTTATCTTATGTGTTTTCCAAACTTTTGTTACATAAGCCTATTATGAGGTCAAAGTGCATTATTTAAGTAATGTTAATCAATCTGTATATTCCGCATAATGTGGCTGAATTGACTATAATTTTTGTTTAGCTACCTGAAACCATGGTAGCAATTTTTGCTTAAATTGCTATGCCCACATATTTTAGTTTTACCCTTTTACTTATGTGCTTTTGAAATCAAAATAAATATCTTCTCTTTCTAATGTTCAAGATGCTATTACATGTTATTTTCTTCTCCATGGTGTGTCTGCGGTAGTGGGCAAACATATAATATCTCCGTGGATGTGGAATTGATCATAGATGAATACTATGCATATGATTAAGTAGGCTGCCTTTTCATTTTCCTGAGGCCAAAGTATTTTCTATTAAAGGGTTAGCATATTATTTAGTAGAATATACATGGTGTATCATAGATTCCAATCCTTTGTCTCTTGGCCTTTTTATTATTATTTTTTTTTTCTCGGACTTAGTGGCTGGTCCTTGGAAATTTTATTCATGATGATCCATAATTGAGATCTTTGAATATGATAAAAGCTGCTTCTTTAATATTGCAGGTGGCATCAATCAAATCTGGTATGTGGGATAGTGTTTATGATACTTTGCAAGCAATTAGTCAACAAGAATTAGCTAACACACTCTCTGATAAGTATTCTGAATTTGAAAGCATTGAGGTCGAACCAAGTAAACAAGTTGCAGTAATCAACACTGAACACATTGTACAGCCTACAAACAGTGAGTGACATTTGCTTTAGAAAAAACAACATAAGTTTCCAATTCTTCTATTGTGGTTCCCTTTGAATTATTGTTTTTATATTTTAATCTTTTCTCTGGCACATTTTTTTTTTTTTTTTTTTGCATTTGTTCTTTTATTCCTTTATAAGACAGTTGATACCAACTTGAATTATTTGCCATTATTCCCCAATCTTCCCTTTCTAGTTATCAGTTCTATTGAGCAACCAGTAATACTAAAAGTTTAAGCTGAAAGAATAAACTCAGTCTAGTTTTCTACATCATATATTAATTGTCACGTTCTCTCTCTTTTTTTGCTTTTTAAATGTAACTAATTTCTTTCTCTCTCAGGTGTGACGGCTGAACAAATTATCAGGAAAGTTTCTAAATATTTTGAGATGGATCATGAAATATTGAGCAATGGTGAGTCAGCTTTAAACAGGATATTTGTCTTCTTGAGAAAGCTGTGCAATTGTGAAACTTGGCTGGCAGAGCAGTTTTCTGTTAAGGAATTCAAGTCCCTTGGTTTTGGGGAGTTTTTCGTGTTCCTAGAAAAATACACCTCCTTATTGCCTATTGAGATGCATAAGTTTTTGTTGGGGGTCACAAGTGAAAGATCTCCTTTAGAGGTTTCCCTGCTCAACCATCTGTTGATTGTTTTAGTGTCTCAGGCTTCAAATAGTTTATGGGAGAATGAAACTATTACCAAGCAGATGATTTCTGCACTGCTTGTGAGACAATTCCCATTGCTTAGTTTCAAAATTGTGGAAAATGGGTCCATGGAAAATTTCCTTGAAATTGTGGGAAAACATAAAAATTATGTGATTTCCAAGTGCATCGTATTTTCTGAAACCTTGTTGGGAATTAGTCTCAGTGATTCTCTGGCTTATAAAGAGAACATTTTACTGGAAACCAATGAGGTGAGAACTGATACTGCCCAGAGAACAAGGATTTCAGGTTCTGTTACATCCAAGGATGCTATTGAAGTTCTACTCAGGGCACCTATGTTGTCAGAACTGAACTCATGGTCCCACTGGGAACTTGTATATGCTCCCTCACTTGGACCTCTTCTAGAATGGTTGCTGAATGAAGTCAATGTTAAAGAGTTGTTTTGTCTGGTGACTAAGGAAGGCAAAGTGATTCGGATTGATCATTCGGCTACTGTAGATTCATTCTTTGGAGCTGCACTTGAGGGCTCCTCTTTCCAAACAGCTGTCAAACTGTTATCTTCTTTTGCATTAGCTGGGGGAAGAAAGCATGCTCCTCTGTCACTCTTAAAACGCCATGCACAACATGCATTTGAAGTTATTTTCAAGAATAATATGGAAAATGTGGATGGAGGTGATTGTCAGAATTCTGTTATGCATGGGAAAGTATTGAGCAGACAGGCAATGCTTGATGAAGTTGCTATGGGTAAATTAAGTGGTGAAGTCCACAATCAGTTGATCAAATTGAATAAAGCAGTACCTATTGCTTCAAGGTTTGTCCTTGATTGCCTTAGTTATCTGCCTTCTGAGTTCCACGGTTTTGCTGCTGATGTGTTGCTTTTTGGTCTGCGATCTATAATTAAAGATGCCCCTTCAGCCATTTTATCTGAATGCAACCAAATAGAGGAGCGTGTCATGCTTCATGAGGTGGGATTGTCCCTTGGCATAGTGGAGTGGATTCATGATTACCATGAATTTTGTTCCACTCCTGTTACAGATTTGTTAACATCTTGTGGGACCTCTTGTTTGGAAGCTGCTAGGTCTGAGTTGCATGCAGGCTTGAGGTATCAGCAAAATGCAGTCAGTAAATATTCCTGTACCAAAGATGAATTGATAGGAGCAGATGGTCTTAATGAAGTGCATAGTGAAGTTCACACTGTTCATTGTGATGCTTCCCCTAGCGGTATTGACAATTGTTTCACACAACCATTACATGGAGTTACTGAATATAGTGAAGCAGCCCAAATTGTTGAATCTATCAGGCGGGAAGAATTTGGTCTGGATCAAAATCTTTCTAACATGGAGAGTATCATGTTGAAGAAGCAGCATGCTCGCTTAGGGAGAGCACTTCATTGTCTTTCTCAGGAATTATATTCTCAGGATTCACATTTTCTTCTTGAGCTTGTAAGTGTGGTGCCTTTTTCTTTCTTTATTGTGATCATAAAATTTTGCTTCTTGTTCAAGTTAAATTAAAGTCAATTTCTTGAACCATCAGTTACATTGGAATTTCAGTTTTTGCCTGCCTTTCTTATTTGCTTTTCTGTTGACTTTTTTTTTTTTGAAAGATTTGTTATCTAAAAAATAGATTATGACCATTTACATTTTGACTTAATCGTTCATGAGTTTTGTTTTGGCATGCTGTGCTGTAGTTTTTGTGACAGTGAAATACAGCCTAGATGATTGTGTTTTGTGACATCCATAACTGTTTTATTGTTCTTTAACCACCTAAAGTGTAAAATTTGAAGCATATGGGACAAAATACATATCAAAATTTGAGTTAAATAATTGTATTTTCAGTGCCTTAGTTAAAAATGTACCTTATGCCCTCTTCTTTTTATACATCCCACCAAGTTTCAATCTTTTCCTCTTGCCTGGAAAACTATACTTAAAATCTTTATTGCAATAAAGAAATACTTCTCCATTAAATCATTAAACTAATGGCAATTTATAGATAAGTACATTAATCAATCTGGTTCGCTGATTGTTATTTATTCAGAGATGTGAATCTGTTTGTGATGGTCTCCTACTAAAGGATAGATATATACCTGTAAAGGCTAAATTTCTCAGTTTTGGGGAAACTGAATACCTTTTCTTTCTTGCTTCCCATCCAGATTAACTTGATGATGGAAACATCAATTCTTTGTCTACATATCAAATTGGATTGCTGGTAAAAATATGAATCTAAGTATTCTTCTTCTTGCTTCAGGTTCAAAATGCTGATGATAATATCTATCCAGAAATGTGGAACCTACTTTGACATTTATTCTTCAAGAGTCTGGGATTATTGTCTTAAATAATGACTGGATTTTCAGCTCAGAATATCAGAGCGCTTTGTGATGTTGGAAATTCCACCCAAAGGGATCAGGTGCTGGCTATATTGGCAGAAGGGCTAGGTTTCAAATCAGTATTCCGGTGTGTGTAATTGCTTTTTCAGTTGTTCTCTTATTTTTAATTTATGTCAAATAAAATTTTAGTTATTACCCCATGTTTGCACCACACTGTATGCAGAAAGGATAAAAAAACTATATCTGTTTCTGAGCCTTTAGAACAAAAAAAAAAAAAAAAAAAAAAAAAATTCTGTCTAGTATGGCAACCGTGGTCTCAAGGTTTATTTCTATGCCTTCTTTTGCTTAATTCTTGGAGATTGAGATGCAATTTTGGTCAATTTTTATTGTTCTGTTTCTTCTCTGTGGTCTGATATTTTGATCCTTTGCAATAAACTGCTGGTTCTCTATCTTGTAATTCTTAAAATTCTGTAATTTCCTTGAATACTAATAGTGTCTAAATGTTTCTAAAAAAATAAAAAATAAGTAGAAATCAGGAAACTCTTAATTTGCTTTTGATTATGAAATGTACTTCTAAGTTTGTCATAAGCATTTAACCTCTATAATGATCATTGTTGTGGTTGTGTAGTACATATTCTATGAATAATCAGCTTTTCTTGAAGTTTTGGTTGGTATTTATTCAGGTCACAGATGCTCCAGAGATTCATTCCAATGGATTCCATGTCAAGTTTGATATCAGTGAGGGTCAGATTGGTTTTGTGCTTCCGACAGTAGTGGCTCCTTGCAATATTGACATGTTTTGTAGGCTGGTATCGAAAGATCCTATTCAGTTAGACAATAAGTGTTGGAACACCTGCATTAGGCTTCCTTTCAGATCAAAATTATCTGAAGGAATTGCCATGAACAACATTGTCACTATGTTTTCAGATCTTCATCCATCTTTATTACTCTTCCTTCACCGTCTCCAGTGCATAATGTTTCGAAACATGCTCAATGATTCACTCATTGTTATGAGAAAAGTAACTGTTGGAGATGGTATTATAAAGATTTCATGTGGGAAAGAGACGATGACTTGGTTTGTTGCATCTCAGAAGTTACAGGCAGATGTTATTCGTCCTGATGTGCAAACTACTGAAATTGCCATAGCATTTACATTGCAGGAGTTGAATGAGGGGAACTACATTCCACTTCTGTACCAACAACCTGTTTTTGCATTTCTTCCTCTTAGAACTTATGGTTTGAAATTTATTCTGCAAGGTGATTTTGTCCTCCCATCATCTAGAGAAGAAGTTGATGGGAATAGTCCCTGGAACCAGTGGTTATTGTCAGAATTTCCTCGCTTATTTGTCAGTGCACAAAGATCTTTTTGTTCTCTTCCTTGTTTTAGGGATAATCCAGCAAAAGCTGTGGCAGCTTATATGAGTTTTGTCCCACTTGTTGGCGAATTGCATGGTTTTTTTTCTAGTCTTCCTCGAATGATTTTTTCTAAATTACGAATGTCTAACTGCTTGCTTCTGGAAGGAGACAATGATCAGTGGGTTCCTCCTTGCAAGGTTCTCAGAGGTTGGACTGATCAGGCATGTACTATTCTTCCAGATGGCTTGCTTCATGAGCATCTGGGCCTTGGGTTCTTGAATAAGGATATAGTTTTGTCAGATTCATTGGCAAGGGCACTGGGTATTGAGGAGTATGGACCCAAAATTCTTCTTCAAATCATATCCTCTGTATGTCAGGCAGAAAATGGCCTGAAATTGATGGGCATCAGTTGGCTATCTTCTTGGCTAAATGAGCTTTATACAATTTCTTTTAATTCTTCTGGGAAATCTTCATTAAACTCAGGAATAGAAACCGATCTCATTGATAGCCTCCGAAAAATTCCATTTATTCCCCTTTCCAATGGTACATTCAGTGCAGTGGATGAAGAGACAATTTGGTTACATTCTGATCACTCTCTGTTTGATGGTGGGCTTCTACTTGAAGCTTTCCCAAATCTATGTGGTAAACTTCGAATTGTGAATCCTTCGCTCTTTTTTGTATCAGCTGTTGATTTTTCATGCTTGGACAGGATCTTAGTAGACAATCTTACTAGGATGCTTCTCAAAATTGGTGTCCAACAGCTATCTGCTCATGATATTGTAAAGGTGCATATTTTGCCAGCCATATCTGATGAAAAAATTGTAAATAGAGACGAAAAGTTGATGAGGGATTATCTCTGCTTTTTGATGATCCACTTACAATCTTACTGCTCCAATTGTCATGCTGAAAGGGAGTACATTTTTTCAGAGTTAAGAAATAATGCTTTTATATTAACAAATCATGGGTTCAAACGACCATCTGAGGTGCCAATTTATTTCAGTAAAGAATTTGGAAATCCTGCTAATGTTAGTAAGTTGATTAATGCTGTGGATGCTAAATGGCATGAGGTCGACATCACCTATTTGAAGCATCCAGCAAACGAGTCGCTCTCAGGTGGGCTGATAAAGTGGAGGAAATTTTTCCAAGAAATTGGCGTAACAGATTTTGTGCAAGTAGTTCAAGTTGATAAGAGTGTTGGTGATATATCTCATTTGGTTTCCAAAAACTTGATATGGGATAGGGAGGCAATTTCCCCTGGATCAGCTGCAAAAGATTGGGAATCTGATGAGTTGGTTCATTTATTATCCCTGCTTACCAAAAGCGTCAACCGGGAAAGTTGTAAATATTTACTAGAGATTCTTGATACACTATGGGATGACTGCTATAGTGACAAAACAACTGGTCTCTACAATTTTAAGTCCAATGGTAATGGAAGACCCTTCAAGTCTTCATTTGTAAACAGCATATGTAGTGTTCAGTGGGCAGTATCAAGCATGGATCATGAGCTTCATTATCCTAAAGATTTATTCCACGACTGTGATGCAGTGCGCTCCATCCTGGGCGCTTCTGCTCCGTATGTTGTTCCAAAGGTTAGTTTGATGTATCATGTGTATATAAACACTGGACATCGTTTTTATTTATTTTCTTGTGATGTGTGTGGAAGTCATTGCGTACTTATCTCAGCTCAATACCATATACAGCTATCATGTTTATAGGAACTAAAACTAAAAATAAGCTGAGTTGCCTATTTCTCCAATTTATTGAGATGAATTAGATGAAAGAGGGATTCCTATTGAAAAGAGAGGGATAAAAAGTGAGATATACGATTAATTGCGTGGATTTATGAATATCTTAATGCCTTGCTGATTATGAGATTTTTCATGTGTCATGTAATGAGCTCAAAGCTAATCTGAAGTGGCACCAAGTATGCTTGTGTTGTTATGCATGAAATGGTAAAACATGATGGAATTGGTATTTTTATCTTATAGAAGCTTTATGAGATTATGTCTTTGTAATTGCAACTGACAGCTATATGTGACTATTACTCTGTCAAATAAGTAACATGCATTCTGAAACGTAATAAGATTTTGCTGTATATTTCTTGTTGAAATAGGTTAAAAGTGAAAAGTTGTTACACCACATTGGCCTAAAGTCTGAAGTCACCCTTGACGACATCAAGGAAATCCTAAAAGTATGGAGAAGATCTGAGAATCCATTTAAGGCCAGGTATTACGTTCTTTGTCATTCATTTGGTATTACGTTCTTTGTCATTCATTTGTTTAATTTTACGTCTGATGATCATACATTTTTTGTGTTTTATCCTTCCATCTATTGCACTGGCTGGAGATGCTAATCATCAGAAATCAGCCACTTTATGCTATATATTTTTTTTCTCTGATTGTTTAAAAAAAATTGGCCAAATGTTTTATAGCTATTAGTTTTGGCTCTTTTTGGATGGCAGTTGTATGTAATGCTTATTGTTCAAACAAATTAAGTTGGCTGTTTCTGCCTCAATTGACTAATCTGGAGAATTCATGACTATTTCTTTTATTAACATTGTGTTGAATTATATATTTGGCTAACACCAACTTCAGCTGTGTCTGTTGTAGTCACTGTAGAATTCATTTAATATACTAAACAAGAACAAAAATTCAATTGATATGCAGTTTTCTTGATGGTGATCTTAATATTCTATTCAGATTGATCAATCAATAACTGATGCTATAATCATCTGATAGTGATAATGAAGGTGCATGCCTTTTTTTAATTTGTCCTTGTCACTTTAAAGGAAGCATCCTTTTTTTTTTTTCGGGTTTAAATGGAAGAATGCACTGTTTTACCGTTGGCTTATGTAAAAGCACTTGTTTTGATTGCTTCCAGAGGAAAACAGAAACAATGCTTAAACCACATAAATGAAGATGGATGCCTTCATCGTTTTTTTTTATTTTTTATTTTTCCTGTTTGTTTTCTTTTTTTTCAGTGGCACTTTTTCATATAAAACATTCTATTCTTTTATGAAGGTGTATTGTGGATATTATATGTTCTAATCTTGTCTTCAACAATGCTGTTATCAAGATCTCTAATTGGTACTGTAATGCTTAAATCTACTACTTGTTGTCTTTGATGTAGTTTGACATCAATTATTACGACAGCCAAGTCAATTAAGTGTGGTTAACTGCTTTTGGCTTGTCCATGTGGATAGAGTACAAACATGATAATATGTGAATCACATTAGGCATATTAGGTTTATATATTCTGAGATGCTTTCCTAATGATTCAGGTTAACCAATAAGGTAACCAGAAGCAAAGATTCTGAAGTCCCTTTGGTTGCATTTTCATCTGCCCATTTGAAATGATTTGTATCTAATGTGCTCTTTCATTGTATGGATGCTTTTTGCTTATGATATATAAAAATGTTTTTGGCAAGTTAGAACTCTGATCGAAATCAATATTATATGCCTCTTACGTCAAGTAGGCTCAGTTGTCCTGAGTTTTAACTTTGGTTCCCAAGTATTGTGAGGCATACATTCTGTAATAAACTATGTTGAAGGGATGTGCTTAACTCATCAGGAGCTAAATGTGGCATATGTGTATGGAGTCAAGTCTTGATATATTTTCTTTTCTTGTATATATATATGGGTCGTGTCATTGTAACACAAATTTTTAACTTAAAATTTTGACCATTAATTCATGGTAACCTAATGGCTAAGAAGTTGCTTAGTAGGCTTAAAAAACAACTAACACTAACTTGTTTCACATGTCCACTGGATTACATGTAACGAAAGGCTAAAATTTGTATTACAATAGCCTAACCTTCTAATATGATATTCATCTAATTCTAATGATTGATGTCGAGCATATCTTATTATCTCAGATTACCTTTTTCAACCTTGCTATACTTCAATCACTCTTTGTCAAAGAGTTTTGAAGTTGTCTCTTATTGTAGTGTTCATTTCATACATCGAATATCTATTTCATGTAGTTTTATTGTGTACCTTTTGCCCTCTTTTTCTCTGAGGAAAAAAAATGGTGTGTTTCTTATCAGAAAAAGGGAAAAGTTATCATCCTATTCTTTTTTCTTTTTTTAATTTTTCCCAAACTGCCTTACTCATTGATATTAAAATTGCACTTTGGCATGACAGCATAGCACAAATGTCAAAATTATACACATGTATATGGAATGAAATGACAGCGTCAAAGCGCAAAATTACTGAGGAATTACATTCAGAGCCATTTATATTTGTTCCATACACATCTGGAGAAGGGTATGAGGATGTTGTACCGGGTGTGTTTTTGTCTTCTGAACAAGTATATTGGCATGATTCAACTGGCACTGCAGACCTAATGAAGAAGATGCATCCTCAGTGTAGCTCTATTGGTGTTTCCATGCAGCAGATGACTAAGATGTTGTCAGATGTATATCCAGGCCTTCATGAATTTTTTGTTAACAGATGTGGAGTACATGAGACTCCGTCTTTCCGTAGCTACCTTGAGATTTTGCTGCAGTTGTCAACTGTTGCATTGCCTTCACAAGCCGCCAACGTTGTAAGTAACTTTATGTAAACCTGATTTACAATTTATGAGTTTTGTGCTGCAATCTAAGTGTTTCTTTCATGTCTTAGGTTTTCCAAGTTTTCCTGAAGTGGGCTGATGGAATAAAATCTGCACTTATGAGTTCTGAAGATATTCTTTACTTGAAAGAATGTCTTACAAAATCGGAGTATACAGTGCTTCCCACTGTTCAAGATAAGTGGGCTTCCCTACATCCTTCATTTGGTCTTGTGTGTTGGTGTGATGATAAGAAGTTGAAGAAGAGATTTAAGCATTTAGACTCTATTGATTTTCTAGACTTTGGAAAACTTGGTGACAATGAACAAGAGATGCTTCAAACTAAAGTGTCCACTCTCATGCAAACTCTAGGGATTCCTGCTCTTTCAGAGGTTAGACTATATTTTTCCCAAATTTGCCTATTATAGTCTATGTGGAAAGTTTCCTCTCTTACATTTTCATACTTGTCCCATGGTTTGATCAATACTTTACGTGGAAAACTAAAATTTTTTATTCTTATTTCTCCTTTCACTGATACCTCTTAAGCATAACCACGTACCAAAGATAATTCGTTATTGGAGTTTGATATTAAGCATTAAAGAAAATACATATCCACAGGAGATTGAAGGTGGAAAAGTCTTCATATACTAGCTTTATAGGCAAGTTGCCTCATAATCAACCATAAGATGTAGAACATGACATGTCACTGCCCGAGAATACCTGATATGCTTTTCATATTTTTTTTTTTAATTTTTGATTGCTTTGGCCTTTGGCAGGTTGTAACTCGCGAAGCAATATACCCTGGTTTGGCTGATTGTAGTTTCAAGGCTTCATTAGTGAACTGGGCCCTTCCTTATGCTCAGCGCTACATCTTTAGTTTACACCCTGATAAATATTTAAAATTGAAGCAGTCTGGGTTTGACATACTGAATCATCTAAAAGTTGTAGTTGTTGAGAAGCTGTTCTACAGAAATGTTATTAAAAGCAATGGTGGTGCATCTAAAAAGCGTTTTGAATGCAGCTGTCTTCTGCAGGTATGGAGTGATCCTTTGTTCAGCATAATTGTTTTGTTTATTAGAAATCAACAGTTTTTGATATGATAGAAAACAGACATAATTTTGGTTTTGTCTTAAGGATGGGTAAAACCTCTGAAAAACTTTGTTTTGGTGCATTTTTAAAAGCATTAATGGATTATACTTGTCAGCTCAGGTTCTTGCTAGGAATCATGTATATCAGATACTTTTGCTTCCATCTTCACCTTTGGAGAGTTTTTCTAATTGGACTTTGTCCATTTTATGAGAGTCTGAGATGACATCTACCTAATTATCCTACATAACTATTAGTATTTTGTAAATACAGTATCCAACTTTTCATCATTATATCCCTCTTGTTTAATTTGTACAGGGTAACATTTTGTACACAAGACAGGACTCCGACTCTCATGCTTTATATATGGAGCTTTCTTGCCTATTCTTTGATGGAAATCCTGAATTGCATTTAGCAAATTTTCTCCATATGATCACAACCATGGCAGAGTCAGGTTCTACGGAGGAGCAGACAGAGTTTTTCATCTTAAATAGCCAAAAAGTGCCAAAGCTTCCTGTTGAAGAATCTGTCTGGTCACTCTCATCTGCAAGTATGTTGACTGAGAATGATGCATCACTTCAAACAAGTTCTACATCACCAGATGTAAATGAGCAAAGTTCTTCAAAATCCAAGAGGAAAGCAGGAATTGGCTCAAACTGGCCACCTGCTGATTGGAAAACTGCCCCAGATTTCAATTATGCTCGTGCAAATGGTTTTAAAACACAGGCAGCCACTGCACAGCCAAGCAGCAGCTCAAAAACTAGAAACAGAGATGATAAGAAAGATGTTATCAGACAAACAAATGATGTTGCTCCATTGGAGATTGATTCAAATGTGATTGTTGGAGATGATTTTGCAATAACTTCAGCAGCCTTAATCCTGCCAGGTGCCGAAAACATGGGAGATCAGTTTGGTCTTGCTTTATGTCAGAATCCTTCTAGTATGAATTTTGTATGTGATCCTGTTGATCTAGATCTTGTATCCAAAGGCCCTGAGTTATCTAAATTTAGCAACAGAGATCGGCTTAATACTGGTGCACCTGATGTAGCTCAAGCATTGCGAACTGGAAGAATGGGCGAGCTTGCTGCTTTTAAACACTTCACGGAACTCTTTGGTAAGACAGCTGTGAATTGGGTTAATGAAAATAATGAAACTGGGTTACCCTATGACATTGTGATAGGAGAGAATGAAAATAGTTTAGAGTACATTGAAGTTAAATCAACCAGGTCTGCAAGAAAGGACTGGTTCAATATAACAATGAGAGAGTGGCAGTTTGCTGTTGAGAAAGGTGAATCTTTCAGCGTTGCGCAAGTTGTTTTATTTAGTGATGACCAAGCTAAAGTCACAGTGTACAAAAATCTATTAAAACTTTGCCAGCTAGGCAAACTGCAACTGGTTGTTATGATGCCAAGGTAGAAGAAGGAGAAAAGAAAAGAGTTCTCATTTTTCTCGGTAGCACTTAGCAGGTGCTATTCATTGTATTCTTAGGCATGGCTCAGGAAACCCGCATTGGAAAACAATTTTTATGTAGGCCTGTCACTATCTACCACTCCATGAAGTGTTACATGTGAGATGGCCAAGAATGTGCTAGCCCTTCATCTTTATTCGCAAGAGTGACAAATTGATATTGGCTGCACAAAATCTGGGTTTGGAAGCGCTACCAAATGATCACGGTTTTAATTTTCTTTGGAGGATGAAGACATGGTAGAACAATCTCGAAACTCAAGTTTTACATGCTTGTAGTTTCCTGCAGAGGGCAAAAAACACATATGCCCCTTCCAAGAAATGGAAGCAAGATACATGGTGACAACTTATTCAGGATTTGTAAATCCATGGAGGCTTGTGGCAACATTACAACCATATATTTCTGAATTCTGAGTAGATTTCCAGGCGAAGCAAGGCAGAAAAGTGAAATGTAATGACTGGAGATGGATGAATACAGCTTGTGAAAGCTTTGTAAATATGGTCAAAGCATGTTAACTTACATATTGTTCATTTAGCAGGTGGTTGTGTAGCCATGAAGTTTTGTCAGCTTTATACAAACTTTGTACTCGGCATTATAGAAATTTTTTAATTAAGGGCCTCTCAGACAACCTCGTCTCTCCCTCCTGAATTCCAGAACAACTCTTTTATTCAGTAGGCTAATCGACATTTGCCATTAGCTAACAACAAATTATTAAAGCAGGGAGGAGTGCACAAATGCGAGAACATACCTTCTGGAGCTGCAACAAATTACTTATTTTTTATGTTGTCGATGGCCCAAGTGACAATAAGCAAAAGAAAAACTGGAAAAACAAGGGTTAGTTCAATCGTTAGGAGGAGGACATCCATTAAATCCTTTAGTTATAAATACTCGCAGCAAAATCTCCAACCTACCAACAAATATCTAGCTTAAAGAGGTATTGGCTACTATAAATAGTGATTCTTCTTTTGCAAAATTTATTAGTTGCTAACCATCCATAATACTTGCTGCTATTTTTTCCTTCTCTTTTCAGTAGTTCTGTTCAACTTCTACCTTTACATACTCAAGACACTATCTTTTAACGTCAATCTTGGGAAACCATTAAACTAATTAATAGAAAAAATATTAGTTTGCTTTCATGAGTTAGAGCATGATGAGAGGGTCAATCAGAAAACACCCATATATATACTAATTGCTTTCCACGGCCAGTTTTCCTTTCCTTAAAAGAAAAAAAATATTTGTTGGTCTTTTAATTTTTTAATATTTGAATTTTATTTATTTTATATTTTTAAGTAATCTTAATCTTTATAATATATATATATATATATATTATATATATATATATATATATATATATAGATGCCAATGTATGAGGATTATCAATTATGGTTTTTAACCTTTTTTTGTTAAATTTAACGGCGACCAATGAATTTTTTTTTCTTTTTTATGACTATTTTGAAACTTGTGTCTTTTTTTTTTTGAGGAAATTTAACTCCCCGAACCTCCTAAGTTTGCATTTAAAAAAATGACTCTGAAAATATTTGCAATTTTTTTTAATTTAGAAAAATTGACGTAGCACACTTAGGATTCATTAAACATGTAAAACGGGTTAAACTGAAAAGATTTAAACATATGTGGGTAATATTATAATTAACGAAAGTTTGTTTAAATTTTGAAAATTAAAAACCCCCACCCTTCAAAATCAGCCAAATACCCAAAAAACGACTAACGAACACCTTTGATTTCTCTACCATTTCCGGCGACGAAAGTGCCCTATTCTGGCAAATATTTGATCATAAAGCTTCCTTACATAAAATCATGGTTGATATTCATAAAGAGGAGGAAAACCTAATCCCACTCCAAATCCTGGACTCTGACGGTGGTAGCAGTTCAAAGGTTGTCGAAGAAGATGCTCCGGTGGATCATCCGATGAGTGAAGGTGGTCTAAAGACAGAGGAGACAATGGCGGCACAAGAACAGGGAAGAATTGAAAAACGGTTCTAAAGAGAAGTATGCCGGCAAGAATTCAGGCGAGAAGGAGGACGCTGGTGAAGAAATTGTACGTTTTTTTCTCGTTTCTTTGAATTTGATGAGAAATTTGATTGATTTGTGCGAATTTGGGGGAGATGTAGTTGGTTTTATTGTTATAGTGGTTGTGGCGTTTTGTCGAGCAGTTGGCGGACATTGGGGGAGTGGCTTTGTTTGGCTTCCAAAGGATGGGAGAAGGCAAGGGAGGTCGTAGGGAGGTTGGTGGGCTGGGAATGGCAGGAGGTGGCAGAATAGGGGGCTAGAGGGCTGTCCTGCATATTGTAGGGTTGGCCACGCACAAAGGGAGGTAATAGGGAGGTTGTTTGTGGGAGGTTGGTGGGCTAGTGATAAGAGTGTAATTTATATATTTTTATTCCTTCCATATTATGTTTTTTGTCATGTTTTATGCCTATTTGAGTTGATTAGAGTTTATTTTATGAGTTTGGCATAGTTGGATAGACTTTAGGAAATAAGTGATAAAAGATTAGGAAATTCTAGATTTTTGTTATTCTGACCAGTGCTACGTTTTTCAGGTTTTTCATGGAGTCAGAGTTCTCGATTGCAACAGTGTTCTTCAGAAAAATAAAGTTGACGAATCAAGCTTTCCAGGAAGGTATTATGGGTGAGAATCCGAGTTCGTTTAGGTCTTCATTAGTTGTTGCAAAACCGGACCTGGAATCCTAGTCGTGGAAGGATTTCCTGGCTGAGTATTGAATCTCGAACGGGCCTAACTGGAGCGTCAAATATCGAAAGCGAGTGACTCAAAAGCCCAGATTCATCTACACATCCGGGACTACAATGTTTATGAAGTGACCGAGCCCAGAAAAGATCTTTTACATTGCGAGAATCCTGGTCCAAGCTGGAGACAAATTCTGGAATCCATATCTGATAAGATTTTGTCAAATCTGGAAGTCTATCTTTTAGGAAACGTCTAGGAAAGATTTTCCATGATTCCTGGGGTAGAATTAGGAGAAAAAACATGTTATTTATTCATGGGTTATTAGGTTAAACAGGGGAGAACAGCAGTAGAGTATTTTTCTAAGTTTTTATCTTCTACGTCAAGATGTGAGGCTGATTTTTCTTCTTCAGTTCAAGGGGATTTTGAAGCCTAATTTCATGTCATTGGTGTAGCCTAACTTCAGTAACATTGTTCTTAATCTCGTTTTTATTGGAATTGTTTATGTTATTCTGTTTTAATTGTTTATAATTTTCTGTTTGGGTGATTTAGTAATGGCCTGCTGAATTATTTCATCGGAATTTTATCTGTTAGAATTAGGAATTGTGATCCGTAATTGTCTTTTCTATTCGATGAGTGACACATGATGATAGCTGATTATGGACAAGTTTTCGGTCTATTGTCTTGAATAACATAACCTAAGTTAATAATCCGAGCTTGTGTGATGTGTGCTTAGATTGATCTATTCTCTAATTCTTAAGGTTGCCATTGAATAAATTTAGAGAGCTTGTTCTAGGTGTTTCAAGGGTTAGTATCTACTGGAAACGTTATTTCAGTAGTGACAAACTAAGGGAGAATTCGGGTAACAGAGCTGTTGTTTCCTAGGGTCAGTAGTTCCACAATAACGAGATAGAACAGTGTTACGGTTACTTTATGTCCAATGCATGTTTAGGTGGATTTGAACGAGAACTAACTGTGTTTAATTTGATATTTTCTACCATTTGAGATTTCTTTGTTTTACTTTAGTTGCGTTGTCTACAACCCCCTTTCATTACCGTGTGCATATTTACTGTTTAGGATTTTATTTGTTTTGTTATTTTCTGTGTTTTCATTGTTTTAGAACATGGAATTATCGAATCATTCCCTGTGGGATCGACCCTTGCTTACCCTTATGCAATTCAATAGTTAGGTTAGGGAAGGTTGTTTGTGGGAGATTGGAGGGCTGGGGATGGTAGGAGGTGGCAGAATAGGGGGGCTGGAGGGCTACCCTACATATTGCAAGGTTGGCCACGCACAGCTGCGTGCGTGGCCAGCCCTATAATATACGGGGCAGCCCTCCAACCCCCATATTCCACCACCTTCTGCCATCCTTTGCCGTCTCCAATCATGGAACCTGCCACAACAGCGTCTGTAGGGCTTGCATTAGCTTCCCCGATCCTCTCGAAGCCAAAAACACCCACTCCTCGATGCCCTTGAAGCCCATATCCCCCAAATTGGCAACCTATTGGTTGTTTTTGTTTCTTTTTTGCTGATATTTAGTTTATATTGATTGTGCAGATTTTCTGAAGCGTAAATTATAAAGACTATGGGTTGGAGTTTGTAAGCGATAAGGTACCGTACTTCCCCGTAAGGGTGACATCTAGGTCGAGTTAGCAAGTTTTTATGAGAATAATGGAGATTTTACAGGAACAGAAGAAGGGTATGGACTGATTCAAAGAGAGTTGTTTCGGTCGTTTTGTGAACATCGGAGAAAATTGGAAAAAATGCATTTTGGGGGCAGGGAGTGCATTATATGTTGCTACACTAGATTAAAAGCCAAAAAAAAAAAAAAAATGAAATGTTGTTCATGGTGGATGGGAAGCCACTACGTTTTGGGATGATGGAATATGCCTTGATGATAGGCTTAAGATGTGGGGCATTTCCAGATGCAGAAGAGCAAGAGAGAATAAAGAAGAGTAGGGCAACCAATAACTTGGCTAAAAAGGTTTTGGGGGGGAAGGTATCTATTACGAGACACGATTTAGATGAGAGGTTAGGAGAAGGTGGGTATATCTCTTCAGAGAGGTTCAAGATGTGCCTGGTATGGTTCGTGCATTCGATCTTAATAGCTTTTGACTCAACAAAAGTCGTTAATATGGATTGGGTGAAGTTTGCAATCAACATGAACTTCTTTAATGCTTATCCATGGGGACGGGTATCATTTCAACTAACCATGGACTCCCTGCAAGGAAAAGACATGGCGTTAAAGCAGCGCCAATCTGTCGAGAAGAATAGACCGAGCACATACAATTTGTTTGGCTTCCCATGGGCAATGCAGGTAAATATTAATAGCTTTTTGTTATATTTTTTGTATTATATGTGTTTTAATTATGATATGGATTGTTTTTTTACAATGTAGGTCTGGATGTATGAGGTCGTCCCTGTCCTAGCTAAGGCGAGGGGAAGGATAAAGACTTTGGATGAGTGACGGCAATTTCCTAGGATGTTGCAGTGGCATATCGAGAAGTTCAAGCGGCTCGGGTAAGATTAAAGGATTAATCTTTTCAATATGCACTTGCTTTTAAATGTGGCTTAATTTTGATTGATTTTTTTCTTATTGCAGGGAGTTGTCCATCCCTTCCTCACTGCTACTAGGGGTGAAGAGGGAGAGGAGTATGTTACATCATTCAAAGCACTGGAGGATGCAGCAGATGAAGGGATAGACCACCTGATGTGAGACCTAGAAAGGGTCATACATGTGAGTGCAGTTGCAGGGCCACTGCTTGAGAATGTTGTTGACGCTGAGGATGATGAAGCTCCAATCGGCGGGAGGGAGAAGGAGGAAGAGGATGAAGAGGTTCGTACGCCTCCACCCAATTGGCAAACCAGTACAACAAGTACCGCTTTGTTGAGGCATTGGGGGCAGGAGAATAAGGTGGTTGACCTCA